CCAAACACGATCAACGGTTTGTTCGCTCGTGTTCGGCTCGAAATGGCTCGAAATAAAAAAATTATATGATTTTTTATATAACAATATATTACATATATTATTTATATAATAATCTATTATATATATTTATGTCTAAATTTAAATCATAACACCTCATGTGGTAATGTGGTTATTGTTTTTTTTTTTGGTATAAATTTGATCCAGGTTCGAATCCCACACTTTATATCTATTTTTCTCAATTTTAGTTTAACAAACCAATTTCGAGCCGAACCCGAGCCGAACACGAATATTTAAATCGAGCAGAACACGAACACACTGTTCACGAGCTGATTTTGAACGCGAGCTATTTCGAACGAGCCGAACACGAGCCAAGCCTGAGCTCGCTCAAGCTCGACTCTACAACCCTAATTATAGGATAGATTATGGGGGTTGAGGCAAGCTCACCAGAAACAAAGTTAGTTTTCAACATTCTAAGTTTTATAGCAAGTTTAAAATATATGAGAGATTCAACATTAAAAATAGAACCAAAATATATCTTAGAAGGCAATTCAAGAAGAAAGCACTACGTCCCACTTTTAAGATTTTATAAAATTTTAAAGGGACCATATGCCTTAGATTGTAGCTTTAAATCTGATTGAGCAATATTTCTTGAGCCTAATGCATACCAAAATATAATTTTCCTAATTGTAGTTCTTATGAGATCTCTTATGGTTAGCCGCATCATCATATTTAAAGTTAATTATTCTAATTTGCTTTTTAATACTCATGCAGGATAGGAAGATCTTGTATAAAAATGCTCAATTAAAGTATGCATCGGATAGAAGTTGTGTAAGATCTATGAGTCTTATAGGATTATAACCATACATTATTTGAAAAGGTGTTTAAAGGCTTGCGTTAGAAATTGTGCAGTACTACGTAAACAATAGTAGTTTCATGATGCAAATTACAAGTTCTTAAGTTATCTACTAGGCATCTCAATAGATTTCCTATTTTTGTGTTGGCAACCTCAATTTGACCATATATTTATAGGTGGAAATTATATGAACACCTAAGTTTTGTATCCAACTACAATCATAGGATTTTCTAGAAATAAGATATAGTACTAGAAAGAAGATATGAATCACACGTCCATTTCAAACACAATTGTGGAAGCCAAATCAAGTAAACTAGTAATCTTCTTAAAGAATAGCTTTAAAATGAAGAATTATTGGTTTTATGGCTCAGAAGAAAATTTGCCTTTTTAAAAAGTCCATTAACTACCACGAAGATATTGTCATGGCCTCTAGGTGATTTAGTAAATCTTAAAAGGAAATTCATGGATATGTTCTCCCAATGCCTATAGGGAGCATGAAGTGCTATGGGTATTAGCCATATTTTTGGTTGGTGAATTTGGGTTTCTTATACGTATGACTTTGATATACAATTCTACAAACATTTCTCTAACTAGATGGCTGATGAAATATACTTTAACAATGTTATCTCACCTTAGATGTTGAATAACATCTTCTGAATGTAATTCATCAATTAACAAATCTCTCTAAGAAGTATTAAGCATGCATAAATATCTAACCTATTAAGATACTCATAAAAAACAACAGTATTTCAGATAAGGGTTCTTGTTCTTATGGTCAGTCAAAATAACATGGAAATCAGGACATAGCGTGTAATTATATACAAGTCTATCAAAACCGGGCATTTGAAGATCAAGTGAAGTGATCATAAGGGACACCTTAAAGTAGACTTCTGTTGCTTTGTTTTAACGTGTGACATCTGCTTTATCTATGCTAGAAGCAACAAAGATCACTTCAAAATCTCATAAAATTTTGGAATTTTCAAAATAAGAGAAGATGCCATCAGGTTCTTTACTGATCAAAAGCATTTTGTGCATTAGCTGTCAAGGCAAAGATATCTCTTATGAAATCAGTAAGAGATGCTGCAATGATACTAAAACTCTAAATGCACCTCATATAAAATGCAGTCAACCCATGGAAACTTATCCTCACATCGGTGAAAATAGCATCATATTGTTAGTCTCTTTGCGCTGAGCTTGCTCTAGCTAACGAATTTTCATACCTGGTATTTTTGTACTAGTGTTTTCTTATGCTTGTTTGCGTGCTGCACCCGACCTATCCTATTCTTTCCTGCGTGATATTCTATTCCTGCACACCTATCTCTAACTTTGCAATATGTGCCTACACACTCGTCTGCATGATTTCCAGTTTGCTTGCATGTTGTCATGGTTCAAAAATTCATTTGAGGGGCACTTGCCTCAGGCCTTGCCATGAAACGACCTGCAATTGCCACAAAACCTGTGATTTCATTTTTCCTTAGTGGCTTTATGCTTTTTTTCTTTTAAGGTGTAGGACACAAAGTTATATGCCTTGAGGCACATGAGACAAATGCCTAAACTCAAAATTTGCTTTGAAAGACGCTTTTGAGCTTGTATATAAGAGAATTTAAGTTATTTGTTCTATAGAGTTCTATGTTTTTAGGAAATTTTCCTTTTTATTTTTAACTTTTTAAAAGTTTAAACTAATTTTTAATATTTATTTTAATTAGTTTGTTATATTTTCTTTTTTGCTCTTTTTATTTTAAATTTTTACTTTTTTTAATAAATCATCTATTTTTTAAATTTTATTTTTCTAGTTTTCTTTTAAACATTCTTTTTCATTTTTTATTTTAACTTGTTTTTATTATATTTCTCTATGTTGTTTATTGCTTTTGTTCAGTTTTTAATTTTTTCTAAACATTTTCTTCATTATTGCATATTAAAGTGTCTTTAAATTATGATTATGCCTTGATTTGACTGAAGTTTTATGTCAGCTTCGATAAGGCAAAATGACTCGATTCTCTATTTCACGTGTAAAATCTTGTGTGACCGCTTGCATCTCACTCCCATCACTAGCAACATCATATCATCGTACAGCTTATTTTATTCCTATCCAAATTCATATCTAGTTGCAATTTTCTAATTATTCCCATTGAATAACAACTCTTATTCTGTTTCAACCATAGAAAATTATCCTTTTGATTTTAATATTTCCCATATATAAAGGTATCCAAACATTGGCTTTTATGTCATGAAAATTTTTTGTTTTCTATTTGTTTAATGATATGATCAAAAATTGAATTGTTCAAGATACATAACTTATGGAAGCTGCATGAAAAACACAAATCCTATGCGGTGTTGCACAGGGTCAATATACTTTATGGAATTGATGTTACTATTTTGTCGACTTGTTTTATAGATGGAAAATAGCGTGTAATATATATTTTTCCAGGGTTGATTGGAAAATTTTTAGTAAAAAGTTTTAGTTGATGGATTTGAAGAATCATACAGTTATCTTCATAGATGTTATCATAGTCTCGACTTCTATTTGAAAATTTATCTATCTGAATGAGAAATCAAAATGACTAATTTTATATCCTAGTTTGAGCTATTTAGTCTATCATACTTCAACAACTCTAGTATTTTTTTCTTTTCACACCTGAGGCCCAAGTATGATAATGTGATTGAGCCTGAAACTGATTATTAACCTAGTAATTTTATGCCCCTGGATGACCCTGAGCACGTGTTTGGATTATATATTCTAATACGGTTATCATTGTACTTGAGTCTCTAATTATTATTGTTTGACTTCAAACCCAACAGATGGTGAATTGGAGATATAAATTAACTCCTCAATTTTGTGCTGTGTTGTCAGTGTAATCAAAGTGTGATGTCATCATACTTCTATATATAATGCCACAAATTCGAGTTTGTTACAATTACCGTCATCATGGTGTGATTGTGGAATTTCTTATGGATTTGATTGAATAAGGCCTGTTGAAGTATGTTGGTGCCTGCAGCTTCCTTTTTTTACTTTTATGCCCAATATGCATATGCTGAAAATCTTAAGGATGTTTGTGAAGTACTTTCTCCTCTACCATGTTCATCAGGCATCCTAGCGAAGGGCTTATGCGTGACTCTTAAGGACAAGAGTTTATAGCAGTTAAAAGAATTGATTCATCCCAAGAAATTGAATTTAAATTATTTTGGTATTTTAAAGTAATTTTGGATTCATTTTAATTGAAATTAGCTGTGATTATCTTTCTGATATAATTTAAGATTTAGATTTGAATCATTTAGGATTAAATCTTGATACAATTAAATTTGATTTAAAATGCCTATTGTAACACTTTATAAAAATAGGGATTTCATGGCTTGCATTGTGGTAACTGATTGATGAATTAAAATGAAAGTCTCTTATGTTACCTCTTTCCTCTCTCTCTCTCTCTCTCTGAGTAGATTCATGGCTTGTTCAAGTACTTTTCATCCATTCCCTTGCCTTCTCAATTGCTTGATGATTTAAGTGCTGGTTTTCTTCTGAAAATATTCTATAAAGAATACTCGCATATTTTCATGACCATTTGTCTTTAGGGAGCGAGAAAATGTTGTGAACAACGTATATACTTTAAGCTTTAAACTGGATTCCAAACTTTTGGCCATGCTATTCGGAAACTCTGAGTAGAACGAAGTATAAGGGGGATGGCTTCTTGTTGATTGTGAAGCTTTTATGTCTAGAATATTTCTGGAATCATGAAAAATCTTAGAATATACGGATCTAGTTTCCAAAAGTTAGTCTTGTAATCCCTCGAGCTTAATTTTTTTTCTCGCACTCTTTGCGGTTATGCTATTCTAGAGGTTTTCCAGATAAATAAGGGTTGGGGTTTCAAGAGCAACATAGGTATCGTGAAACCCTTGATAATTAAATTTCTTTTGTTCTATTTTTTTTCAATTTGGGAGAGAAAATTAGTCAGGAGTTTAAGAGGAATTTTTCTTATTTTTTTCCTTTCCAAATAATACTCTCAGCCAGAAAACGTTAGTAGTTTTTTTTTTTCTCTTTTATGCCACTCCTATTTTAAGCTCCCATGCAAAATACGGCTGTCCTTGGAAGTTAAAAAAAAAAAAAGTTTACTGTGTTCTCAACCATTTTCAAGAGCTTGTACATCAAGGGATGTTAAAGCGTGCAGTTTATTTTTGCAAACAAAATTTCGCAGATCTTTAATGGCGTGTTCCTGAAAGTGAACAAGGCCACTATTAACATGCTTCGGAGGGTGGAGCCTTATGTTACCTATGGGTAATTTTTTTTCTTGTTTTATTGGTTTTTCTCATTGTCAGCATTTTGTTAGCTTACTATATTTGGGATTATTTTGTTATTTTTAATGCTTCAGCTATCCTAATCTAAAAAGTGTGAAAGAATTGGTTTACAAGAGAGGCTTTGGGAAATTGCAGAAGCAAAGGATTCCATTAACCAACAATTCCATCATTGAACAGGTTTAGTTTTTATGCATTGCTTAAAACTTACAAGGTTTTATTTAGGATTTTTCATAAAATTTTGATGTTTTTTTACTGATGCAGGGTCTTGGGAAGCATAATATTATTTGCATTGAGGACCTCATCCATGAGATTTTCACTGTGGGCCCTCACTTTAAAGAGGCCAACAACTTCCTATGGCCATTCAAGCTGAAAGCGCCACTTGGAGGCCTAAAAAAGAAGAGAAATCATTACGTGGAGGGAGGAGATGCAGGGAACAGGGAGAACTACATCAATGAGCTGATCAGAAGGATGAACTAGGTTCTAGTGATTCCGGCATTCATCCATTTTTGTTGTTTGAAATGAGACATGAAATTGTGTTGCAGTTTTGGTGCTTATAATTTTTTAAAGTTTTTAATTTTGTCCACTTGCTTTATTATTGACTATATTTGAATTGAATTGAATTTCCTCTATCCATGTTAATCACTCTTACCTATTGATTTTAGCATAAAACTTTGAAATTTATCTTTTTTCCAGAAAGTTAGCTTCTATGTGCATCTTAGGAATGAATGTCCATTTTTTTTTTTTATAATTGTGCATTTGGCATTGCTAGATGTGAAGTATATTATCTTGTCCCATCTCATTTTTGTGAAGTCTCTTATTTTGTTATCAAAGCGTACCTCAGTACTGAGTGTGTGTTTAATGTCAAGTTGTAGTCTTATGGTTTATTGTGTTAGAAATTATGATCATTTGTTATGCGGCGCCTGAGGTTTTATGATCTTGTAGTAATTATGTTTGACAGACCTCATTTTTATTTATGAACCAATACATTTTGGGGGGCTATGTTTTTATCCTCTACTTGTCTATTGGCTTGAATATCTCAACTAAACATTGTTTATTATACTCATTGGGTTAGAGTTTTTAAAATAGAAGAGCAGATTCCTTTTTTGTGAAGTTCAACTCTCATTTGCCTTTTACATATTTGGGACATTTAGGTACATACCGCCCCATTCTTATGTATTTACTTTTCTAACACCTAAACTTTTGTTTTACATTAATACCACGCAAATTTTTGATATCACATAAAAAAAAATGCAGCTATTTTTAACTTTTAAATGATGAAAGACATCTTTTTATGCATAGCTGAGGTGGCATATTGGTAAAAATTGAAGTTTGGGTGTTAGATATGTAATTTCATGGAATTGAGCGGTATTTATGTAAATCTTCCTATGTATTTTATGTTTCTCCAAAATGTTTTTGATCTTCTTCAGTTATGTTCTTACACTACAGTTGTCCAATGCCATCCATGCTAGTGCAGTGCGTTCTGTATTTTCTGTATTTACTTTAGCACCAATACTTGAAATGTGATTTTTATTCATGATGAATATTTATATATCTTAATTTAGTTTTCTATATTTCTGTTAAAATTTTAATCCCCATTTGACATTCTTTTATTGGCTTCATATTTGCGCAGGTCTTGGTTTTCCTTTGATATATACCTTTATACGTTTTAGGGCTGTCAATTTGGCTCGTTGTCCGTGAACAGCTCGTGTTCGGCTCGTTCGTTAAGCCTAATGAGCCGAACACGAACAAATTTTTAAGCTCTAAATGTAAACGAGCCGAACACAAACAGCAGTTTGTTCGCTCGTGTTCGGCTCGAAATGACTCGAAAAAAAAAATTATATAACTTTTTATATAATAATATATTACATATATTATTTATATAATAATGTATTATATATATTTATGTCTAAATTTAAATCATAACGTCTCATGT